CCTGGGACCAGCCCGTGCAGATGCCTTCAATGTCTAGCCCATAGGGACAGTTCAGCAAGCAGCCCACAAGTGGGTTTTGCTGTTAACAACTGTTTATTCTAGTCTACCCATCTTTTCTGTGATAGAAATGGGACGTGTGCTGGGATGGTAGAGGAACCCTCGCAATCCGATGCCTTCCTTTGCAGGGCCAGTGCTCAGAGCTGTGACCTGCTGCATCTGCATGCTGTGCTCACCTGCTGCATCATGATACTGGTGAGCGGGAGGAGTTTCCAGTACATCACTAACCAGATTTAGTTTGACTAGTCTAAACTCTCCCCTGGACTGGCGGCTTCACAAATGCAATGGGATTGATGTTACTGGGAGGATTTCCTCCTCCCCCCCCGCCCCGCCCCAATTTAGTGAGCATGATTTTTTTTCAGGGGCACGTGGAACATTCTGCAGGACAGCAAAGCATGCTAATATTCATCCCCCCCTTAAGACTGAAATAAACCCCTGCTCATGAAGACCCCATAATTTATCATCAGTGTGGTTCAAGGGGAAAGCATCACTGGGTGGTAGGTGATGTAAATGTTATTCAAGAATATTCTGCTGGTGTCTTCAGGCAACTTGTTTGAGAGTTTTTTCCTGTTTACTATCTTGGCCTAACTCTATAGTGAATCATGTGACTAAATTGAAAAGCAGAGTAGCTTAATTGGGAGTTTACCTTAAATAGGTAGCTCTAAAAGCCATCCTGCAGAATGGAGAGTGAGACAAGAAGTTATCCTGATTCTCATGTAACTGCCTACTTGTGGGCAGATGTACACAAGACTTTCTTTTCCATATTTTTCTTGGCTAGCAATCAAAATTCATTAAGACATATAAACAACTAAAAAATAATTCAAGTTTTTACTGTTCATATAGCATTGCATTGCATTAAACAAGTCCAGAGTCATTTTAAAGCCATGCAAATGTAAGTTGAGATAATTCCTTGATGTTGAAAAGTCTTGAAACACAAGTGAAACCTCTTGAATAGTTTTAGTATTCTCTGACTGGTAGAAACCTATTTATTTGCATCACCAATGGATGGCAACCAGAGATTTTTCTAGAACTTATTATATAGTCAGTTTGAAAACTTATTTTCCTGATCATATACAGTAGAAAAAGGACTTGTTTCTTAATATAGTATAAACAAACAGTGCAGCAGTTTGACATGGATGCTAATGATAAAAGTATCATTGTATTAGTGTGGAGAGAGCATCTGAGCGGATGTGGATGTACAATACCAAAATGATTAAATGGTACCACTTAACTCACAGCAGAGGCAGTTTATCTTGGGGGTTTTTGACATACAAGTAGAACTAACAGGCAAGGTAAATTACCTTCTGTTCCAGTTCAACACATATTTTTGCTTGGGATCAGACAGCCTGTGGTTGCACAGAGAAAAAGGACAGGTTCTAGGTGGGTGAGAATTTTTAGGAATAAGTAGGCAGTCTGGATTTTTGTTGTGAAAGCTTAAGTTTTTGTTAACTGAGTGTTCATTTCAAAATGTAGTATGTACAACTAAGCTATTTGACTTACTTGATTTCCATCCCTTTATTACTCCCCTACCCTGTTTTCCCTGTCACTTGCTAATTGAAAGCAAGCCCCCTTTAATAGTTGGAAAACCTTCTGCAACAGCAGAAACAAAAAAGAAGGAATAGAACAAGATTTAGGTGAGTTACTTTTTAAGTATTTGTTGTATAGACATTACAGGAGAATGTGTTCAGGCTTGAGTTTGATATGTATTTGATCTTACCAAGAACAGTACAGAATATTTTATGGAGTTTTTCAGAAGTGCTTTCAAATTAGCTGTCTCTACAGTACTTTATTGAATTTTGAAACTTGTTCAGCGGATCAGTGAATTTTCCTTTTTGCTTTTGTACTTAATCTCTCTAGTCTTCTGTGACAGCCCAGCCCATACTTGCTGTATTGTGACAGATGCTATAAAAATCCTCTTAAATGTCAGAGCCATTGGATAAAGGGATAAATAGATAGTGACTTGCAGATGATTACAGAAGTTTTTGGGTTTTTCAGATTTGGGGGCTCTGATGTAGTCAGTAGAGATGCATGCTCCTTTATAGCAGCTCTTGAACATACTGATGACACATTTGTTTTCTTCAGTTAACTTCTGTGGCTACTTCTGAAGTAGTTCAGAGATTGTATAAAAATCTGCAAGTTAAAAACCCTTGGTAAGATACGTAGATTTGTAGGCTTTGGAGTTTTTTGACCTTAAGAAACTGCTAAAAAAAATCAGTACAATTTTAGAATTATGTTTAGAATGGGAACTTTTAATTTCTCTGACCTTTTTTGTCTGCACCGTTATATCAGAGGACTTTCTGGCTGCATATATGTTATCACAATAGTTTAGGAAAATAAAACAGAGTAAGGAACTTCCTGTTGTAATTTTCAGAGCAATAAAACTAAAGAAGGAGGAAATGCTGTGATTTGTTCTATTTCTTGGAGGATATGGAAGACTTTTTAAACAATTTATATTATTAACTTCATTTGACAGAGATATGTTTATGTGTATACAAAGTGTACGTCTGGTCTGAAACTTCAGCGTCATTTAGCATCTTTTGCTGCAGCAACAAGAACTTTAAAAATTTGCACTGGGTCTAGCACAGAGGCTAATGAGTTAATGTTTTTTGCCTTTTATTAAGTACTATGAAGTACATGTTAATTGCAGTAATAAGCCTTCTTTCCATAGAGTGAGTTTACAAATATAAACCAGTATGTTGTTAGTTGTCTAAGGAAAATGTCAGTTACATCAGTATGCATTTATTTTCATGGAGATGCCCTATTGCTGCTATTTAAAAGCAAGAAGGACTGAATTGTAACCAGACGTTTGTGGTCAAATACACTGAGTTATTTCTATAGAGTAGGACTTCGAAAAGCACCAGACTGAACATCATACTTATCTAAGTAACATCCTTATAAGAATTCCCAGTGGCAATATTTTTTTATTTTTTAAATCATACGAGTCCACCTGTATGTAGGCTTTCTTTTACTCATGGCCAGTCTCCTAGGTAGTGCTCTATGAAGAGCACACCTCAAAATGTTTGTGCCATGTTGAAGAAGCAGGTAGGTAAACTTTAATGACTCCTTGCTCGTCTGTTTTAAATGCCTCCACAAGCACCCAGGTAGGGCTTGTCTCTCTCCCTTGTTACTAGAGGGCCCGTGGTAAGACTGGCCAAGAAATCAGCCTTTGACTCAGTATTTTCTGTTGCTTTGCTTTTACCAAATTTGCTTTGCTAAATTAGTATCCCATGTATTGTATTGGAACAGGGAATGTAGAATATGTTCACTTAAAACTGGGGAAGTTTCTGTCTGTTTGTCCTGAGGGAGGGAACAGACTTTTACACTAATGACCTTCTGATCTGTATATTAAATATTGCCCATGACTTTTTACTTAATTCATTCAAGCATATTATTCTTCTACAGGTCCATTAAAGTAAAAAATTCAGTGCACCCTCAGCAGAAGGGTTATTTGTGGTGTCAGGGGAATCAATGCAAGATGCCTATTAGCGGATTAAATTTTTGTTTATACTTGAGGTTTTCTTCATTACTGTATTAGTTTAAGGTTTTGGCTCTAATGAGCATATAGGAATGTAAGTAATGGAAAAATAAGACTACTGAGTCTCTTTTGGTTATATATGTACACTTGAAATGCTTCATGGGGTATAAATTGAGTAGAACATCAGGTATGGAAAGTCTTTCAGGTGTCATCATCTGGGATATGTAATCTTTTGCATGTTCTTAGTATTTAGTAGTCTGGAAACTAATGTGGTTGTCTTGGAAACAGGCTTTATTTTCCTTTTGCGAATATCTAGATGTGAAATCATTGTCTTCCTTGAAAATCTGGAAGTAATACTTCTGAAAGAAATAACTGCAGATTCAAGATGCTTGTCCTCTATTTAAAGAATTGATGCTGGAGTCTGTAAGTGATGTTTGCATTGTGTGCTTTAATTGTAGTTGTGTGATTATGTTGCTAAAACAGTCTTTAGGGTTTTTTAGGTAAAATGCCGGTACTTAGTGTTGATATTTAAGCCCGGGGCTTATTTGCAGTGAAGCACTTTGCCAAGATTTCCTAGCTTAATATTTAAATAGAAATATTACAGTATAACTTGATGCATTGAGGAAGTTAAGTTCCTAAAAACAAACTGATACTATCACTTCCAGTCTTTTCCCTTGCTCTGCTTTAATTGAACAGCATGTGATAAAACCTTGAATATTCTGTGAGACTGTAGCATAATATTTGCCAGACAAAACATCAGCAGTAGACAAAAGTGCACAGGACAGCTTTTTTCTAGCCAGAGAGCTGCCGTGCACAGCATAAAATGTCAAAGCAAAGTAGAAACTGAGTCAAGGAACAACCATCGTTCAAGTTGCTGAGGATTTATTAGGATTTGTATGAAAATATGAAACAATGTTCTTGAAAGAAGTTTAACTTTTCCGGTCTGTAGCTTATTTGTCCAGTCACAGCAGTCTTAGAGTTTGGTATTAGTAACAGTGTAATTTCATCATATTTTTTACAGATGAAGGTCCAGACTGAATAATTTTCCATGTTTTGTTCTTAAATTGTTAACTACATTAAGTTCTAATAGGGTTTTTAATGCATTTCTCTTCCAAGTATTTTTGTCTCCAGTACCAATTTAAAAGATTCTCAAATACTGATATGTACTTCAGAGAAGAATTTTTTTTTTTACTCTTTCATAAACGAAGTCTTTTTTTCGGTGGAGCTCACACTTTGAATGATACAACCTGTCCAAGGGAAGAGAACCATGATGGGATCTTGTGGAGCCATTGGAACCCATTCGCATGACCATCTCTTTCATTCTACCTCCCATCTCTTCCTCCTGCCCCGTTTCTTGTGCTGCATCTACTTTTCAGATTGATCTCTGTTTTCAGAATCTAATTGGTCATTTTATTTTTTCTTAAATGTTTTTCCTTCAAGTATGTCCTGATTTTTTTTTCCTTTCTTCTTCCCTAGAACGAGCTAAGCGTTCTGTTTAAGGCCCGAGATGAAGCTTATTAACGTAAGTGGAGAGGATCTTAAAGACTATGGTTGTTATCAGCTGATGCAAAAAGCTTTTAGTGACCTAGATTTTGGCCCCGATATACAATACTGATGTAAGTATTGTGCATCCAGAAAGAAAGAATTAATCACAGCTTGTTTTTCCACAAATGACAGTAAAGTCACTCTGATGTACTGTAATGCTGATGTGCTCTGTTTTGGACTTAATAGCATTTATATATGTTTACCTTGACAGTCAGGCCACAGACTTCCCACTTTCACCTCAAATTATGATCTCATAAGTCTTACATGAAAAAAGGACAATAAAATAACATGTTATTTAAGCTATAAACAAAGCTGAGTTAGTCCTTGAGCTTTTTTCACATTCCTCTAAATAAATGTCATTTCTTCCAGTTTAACGATATTAGTAAACTGTGTTCAAAAGAAGTAGTCCATTTTATACCTTCCTGATCAAATAATAATTCTCCATGCTGATTACTAAGTATTACATAATTGTATTCCCTGGCTCCATTTTAGCTGAACGATTTTTCATTCTCTCCTTCCAAACTGCAAACAAGCAAGCAACCAAAAAAAACCCACCCTTACGTGGTAACAGTTCTGTATAGTTACAGTACGTGCATCATTGTGTTACTGTGATCACTACCCTGAAATTTGGTCAATAGTCACATATTCTAGCATCCTTCCTGAATCTCCTGGGAAAACATGATACTGTTAAAGTTCTCTTGGCTTTTCCTTTCAGATTAACTTTTAGAAATCTTTGAAGTTTTCTGGTTGTTCCCATTCTTTACAATCCAGTGACTTTGTCCTGGAGAAATCTGTTTTACCTCTGTGCGTCATAATTAGAAATCGTGACACAGTCTTTCATCCCCAGAAATTAAAATACACATAATTCAAAGTTTTCTAAGGATGAAAAGGAACTACAATTTTTTTTCCATCATGTGTTTCACTTCAGGATGTTGCTGACAGCAGCGTTACCCACAGATAAAACAAACTCCAAGGGAGAGATTATAGATTCGTTCAAGGAGAAATGTTTTTTTTGTTGCCTTTTGTAATTAAAAAAACACAAAACAAAACAACTGATGAACGCTTTCCTTTTACCATAAGAAAGGAAGGAAGTTGATTGAAGCCGGTCATCTACAGCTAGCGAGAGAGAGATAGACACGTAGTTGGTTTTGCAGTGATGAGACCCACATCTCTGGAGGACAGTGTATCCAGTCATCACATCATGTTTAAGACAGAAGTTTCTCTCTCTGACGCTCGGCATAAAGGCAACCTACATCTCTTAGACACGTAACGTTTAGATGTAGACAATTCCATCACGAGTGCTAGACTATCCCCTTGGGTTGAAATGGCCTCTACAAATCTTTCCATCTAATAATGGACTGAAATACAAAATAGCTTATCCAAGGTGCTATTCATGCAACTTGTTTTTAGAGGTCCTCATTAATTACAGTTGGGTGTATTTGTTAGAAAAGGGAGGATTTTATTTCACATGCATTGTTTTTCTTTGGGGGTAGGAGATGTATCCCGTAATGAGATGGGTTCTCCACACTTGTGGTCTTGAAGGGTACTTGAGGAACTAGTTTGGCCTCTGGCAAACCATGTCATTTTTGCACCTTTTGTGTTTTGCATTTGTGATTAAATGAACTCTGTGTGCTGCTCTGCTGTCCCTGTTTTTCCTTCCCTTTCAGGAGTGCCACCATAGTGCCTGCCTCAGCAGAGGGGCAGGGACAGTGGCTGTGAGTTACCAGCTCTGGTTTAGCCCTGCTCTGGGATTTTTTTCCCTTTGGGGATTCCTCAACTGCCCTGCTCGAGAGGTGGTGATGCACAGGGATCTCATCCTGGGAGGAGTACAATTTGCACTGTTGCTGGATTAGAAAAAAAATGCTTAAAAAAGTTTATTTTTGTTCTTTCACATAGTCTGAAGTTTTAAAAAATTTGTATGAAAGTGTGCTTTCCTTTAATTTCTGAGAAGTGCTCTTTTTTTTTAAATAGAGTGAATAATGTTTCAGCTTTAATAAAAATAAAGTATTCTTTCTGATACCCTTTTTGATTCTCACTTACATGTGCTTCAAGTTTCAACTTAGTGTTCTTATGACTGGTCATATAAGCTACTCAGTCTGTTTTTTAAGTGTTCGTGTTTTTATACATAGCAAACCTCTGAATAAAATGTACCTATTTAATATGTTACATCCTAACTTCTGCTTAATGGAACCCTTCTATTATTAACAGAAAATATCAAGGATGGCTCAAATTTGAAATGTAACAGAAATGGCAGATTTTTTAGCTTGTTTAAGGCATCTTATTCATTATGTCTAGGACCTGTCAGAAGGTGGTAAACAGATCTCAGAACAGCAGCATTTATAACCAAATTGCTCTCATAAAATACAGATAAATCATTCAACAGAAGAGCTAATTAAATCTGTAGCCTATAGTATAGCCACTGGTATCCTTTCCATTAGCAGCCCTGGTGCTTCACTCAAGCCAAAGAGCTTGAGTTTACAGTATGTTTAATTTGAGCGACAGAGGTTTGTGTGTGAATGCAAAGAGGATTAGAATATTATTTAAGTGATACTTAAAGATAAGCAGTGGTGAACACAGGACTTGAAGAGTATTTGCTTGCTTACCTCTGTAGTTGCAGCCTTTGCTGGCTGCAGCACCGTCTCAGGTCTCTGACTTTGCAGCTATGGCTACCTTAGCCCAAACCACCCTGTTGAAGGGCTGTTCTATGGCTTTCTTTGACATGTCTGTGCTGGGAAAATCTTCCTGGTTTTGAAACCAGAAAACTTAGTGTTACTTTGCACAGCTCTGCCTTTCTTAGTACATATTAAACGTTTTGTTGAGGGATTCTGTGCTGCGACACTGGAAACGAAGGAAATGCTAGAACAAGAAAATGTGAGGAAAAACATTGCTTTCTATCATAAATAAGCTTGTCGCTAGTTTTTTCTTGTATATGTCTGTTAAATTAATAGCGTAACCATATTTTTATGATGATCAACTTGTTTGTAATGCTTTATTTAACTGGAGCACAATGCTGTTTTAGAGGCCTTACTGTTGCCTCAGAATGCAAGTGTTGTCTGCTGCACCGGAGCTGGAGTGTCTGTGGATGGAACATTTGGCCTCATACCATTTGGATGTTGGTGTTTTCCAGTGTTACATGTGAAGTCCTATAGCATATTCAGAAAGAGAATAATCTTTTGAGATTTCCCTCTTGTGCTCTCACTACAGTCAATAATTTTTTTTTTTGCAAAACCACTCAGCAGTAACCACTCACCCTACATCCTTCAGGTTTTCGGCAGGAGCAGTGTTAACCCAGTGCTGAATGTTAGTGCAAGTTCCTCTTGCTAAGAGTTGCCTCTGGTTTGCTGTTACAAATGTGATGGATGCTCAGGTGATTTAAATGCCAGAAGAGAAAGGTTTTTTTTCACCTTCTGTCAATATTTGCAGTAGGAGCTGGACATCTTTATTCTCCAGAGGTCCTCTGCTGTGCTGGGTACCTCAGAGAGAAATTCCCATCTTCATTCTGTTGCCCTTTTCCCAGCAATTACTATTTTAATTTTCTACATAAGAAACTCGGATAATGCCAGCCATATGTCATTACCTGGTACCATTCAAATACCATTTGATGGGTATTTTCAAAAGCAGGAGGAAGACTTACTCTTTAAGTGATCATGGTGTGTCCTTTACAAAAACAAAGGCCATTTGAAATTGTCTGATAATACATTTTTCCTGTTAGAGGATGTGTGACTTCACATAGCTGTTTATTCAGATTAGGTAATTTATTTGACAGTAATTGTATTTTATGCAATTTTAAAAATGTTTATGGGCTATTTTAAGTGGTCTTACAGGGTGAAGTGTAGGTTGTTATGGCTTAACATGTACGTGAGTGTATGAAAATATCCACTGAAATTGTGTATTAAGCTGAGCTTAAGTGTGGTAGAATTTTCCTGGGTTTGTTACTACATTTCTAACTATGCTTACAGCTTCAGGTAAAATATATGAAGATGCTCTGGGATTTCATGAGGTGTATCTCACACTTGAAAATCCCTTCTATAAAGATTTTGTCTTTTGCTGATACTCAATTAGTTTAACAAACAAAACAGTTCTGTAGCAGAAAATACAGTAAATCAGTTGCAGAATTCTGCCTGAACGTGCATAAAATAATTCATTCAACATATCTCTGCACAATAATAACAGGTTGTTCCTTGCTGTGCTGTTGGTTCACAGTCGTTTCTTCGCGCTTCTGTCCTAGCAGCATGTGTTTGATTTTGCTCCTAGTAGCAGCAGAATTTGAAATGCTGCAATTTTAAGTTAACTTCCAGGGAGCGATGAGGGTGGCCTGTCAGGCCATGCTTGGTTTTTTGATGTCACCCTGAGAAAAATCAATTTAAAATAATTTGATAGTGTTTTTCAGTGCCTGACTGTGCCCTGTTTGTTTAACATGTCTCGGAATAGCATTTTCTGATCTGGCTCCAGTGATGTTGTTATCATTAATTTGACTGCAAGTGGAGGTGGTCTTTTGGAATGGAGGAATACATCGGCTTTATACTCTAACTGCTTAAGGGAGATTAACATTTTAGACCTTTTTTTAAGAGAAAAACTGGCAAGAAAGTGAATTGTATACGTAGTTACAGCGAACAGACATACCTATCCTGACTTCTTCTATCTGAATGAATCTTACAGAGATTTTTGGAGCGACTGTCTAAAATCTGGCATTGTACATGTTGAGGACGCCGCCAAAGAAAACAGAAATTATGATTACTGTTCTTCCCAGTGAAAATGGGCAAATGGGCTCCTAACCCATTTATTCTTACGATTAAATCATAAATGTCTATCATCATTTCATATTCGCATATGAGATAAATGTCTATCAGCATGCACTGAACCAGGTAGGAGTCTATACATCTGGCAGTCAGGGAGTGGGGCTTTTGGTTGTGTGGTTTTTGCTTTTATTTTTGTATTTAATCCTTTCTCAACTTTGAAAACAACAAGACTGTCACCCTTTCTGTAACGTGTGGTATTTTAAAACCTCAAATGTCACCCATCCCCTTGCTCTTTTGATGAATTTGTGCATTCTATGAATGCTTATGAATCAGAGAGCGGAGGAAAACTGTGTATTCACTTTAGTTAGTGAATTTAAATAAAAAAACCCTGTGGTTATTGATTACAGCAAATACTCACCTTCTGTGTTTTTGTAGAAATCCCTTGGAGGTTCAAGTATTTAATCATGTCATAGGATTTTAAGAGAGCCTAATGGCTGGATTCAGCTTGCATGCTGTAGACGCCAATGTGATCTGTGGGCAGAACCAGCATCTCTAAGGAGTGCATCAGAGCATTCAGGTGAGGCATCTGCCTCTCTGCATTGGTGATATGGAGAGTTTTGGGGTGTCTCTGCAGTTGTACGTGCTGTTGGCAATGCAGGGACCTGGCCAGTCTGCACCTTGGACTGTTACCTTCCTTTAAGACTGGGATGGATACTGGGAGAAGTGGGACTCTGAAGGTGTCTGTGGTATGGATGGCCAGCACGCTGGGATTGAATACTGGATAAATCAGCCGTCTTTTGATGGTAAATGATCAGGAGAGGTTGTCTTGACTTGGACTTGATTCTGATCATCTTTGTTTCTGGTGGCAGTCTCATACAAGGCTTTTGCCATTCAGCTGGTGGTTTGGTTTTTGGTTTTGGGGTTTTTTTTCATGTAGGTGCCCAGAAAGTGTACAGCTGGTGCAGGCAGAGGATCATTGCAATAAAAGCTACTTACAAAGAAACAACCAACCAACCTAAAAAACCCCTAAGGTGCAGAGGTTGTCCCTGACTGACCTGCTGCATTGACCATCCGTGCAAGGGAGGAGAGCACCTGTGTGCTTCTGCCATCCTTGTGTATGCTGAGCCTGGCTCTGCGAGGGTGCTGGTTTACTTGTCTTCCATTTTGTGTCTCCTGTCTCTGGTTCTGTGAGCAGAGTGCGAACCGTAATTGGAATAAGATGCCCTTGAATAATCTGCCAGGGATTTGTGTTATGATTGACAAAGGAGTTTTGTTATATTTGGAAGATGTGGTTATATGTAAAATAAAATGAAAGGCAGAAGCGAAGTAATTTTCCTTGTTTGAGAAGGCTAAGCAAGGGTTTGTTTCAGTTCTGCTGGTAGGGAAGATGACACTAGGAAATAGTTGAATTCTATATCTGTTAAGTTCTAATGAAAACAAGAGCATACACAAACATGCTGCTCCTCCTTATTGCCTGAGAGGGACTGTGATCATCATATTTTGTGACCAAAGGTATATTATTGAAAAAACAAATGTTAGCTTGGTTTTTTGGTTGTTTTATTTTTTTTTTCCTTCTCATTACGCTTTTAAACCTATTATTGAACTTTGGAGTTCAACATATTAAAGTTCATGTGCAGTTAGCAAAATGACGTATTTTCTGTATAGAAGCCGAATCTTAAATTACAGAACTATGTACCAGCAAATTATGTAGTACCTTTCCACAAATCACTGGTCACGTAATAACAGTATGAATTTCTGAGGGAACAGTAATGTGTTAAACACCTAAATATCCCAAGCTTTGTTTGTTCCTCATCTGGCATCACAGGCGGAGAAGATGAGATATGCCATATAGTTGATCTTTTTCCAGTGCTTTTGTAAAGGCTGAAACGTATTTTCTTTGGTGCATTGCTGCCTTTTGGTAAAATGAGGTGAGAAAGTTCCATTTTCTGTCATGAGCCAACCAAAACCCAGCATGTTTTCAGGGTCCAATTTTGAATTTTTGTTCACATTACAAATCAATGTGAAACCGCAACTATTGAGGCTTTCTGGCATGTACAAAACATTTGTTCAGCTAGAAAATGAGTGGGGGGAAAAAGAGCCAGCGGTGACATGTCCAGATGGGAGCACATTGGAGTGCTGCGAAGCAGAACACCTGGCATCAAGGAATGAGGAAATACAGTCCATCGCTGTGTGTCTGGGTGCAGGGCATCTGTGAGATGTGGCTTTGTTGAGGGCCACCGCTTCCGAGATCTGGATTCTTTAACGCTGATGCTTTGTGAAATGTGATGCTTTGATGTTAGAGTAAAAAAAAAAAATATTGCAGACTCTTTACCAGTAATTAATTTGACATTTGTGGAAAAGATGATCTTCTAGTCAACAAAGTTTGTAAAACTGTAACTGGTCTTTAAATGGACTTCAGTTATTTCTAGGTACCATAGCCCATGCCTGCAGCAGTAGCCCCAGGCTGCTCCCTGCTCCCAGAGGACTTTTCTCCCACTGTGGAACCTGTACTGGTGGGACATCACATGGAGGGGTTCTCGGGGTTTGTACATTTAGTCAGGTCTCTTGATAAGACGTGGAGAGTTTCACATTGCTTGCTTTTGGTATTGTTTCTGAATTATACGCTGTGAATGTTGTTGTTTGGTATAATGAGAATTTCTTTTTTTGGAGTCCGGAATCAATACTGACTGGATTGTTCTGTGCAGAAATTCGAAGATAGAATGAGGTGGAATAGTTGATGTGTAACATGTCGGTGTGTTGGTCTGCTGACAGCGTCAGAGATCACATTTGTCCATCTGCCTTGATAAGAAATTCTGTAAATCACAAAGTTGAAGACTTTATAACCCATTATCGTTTCTTACCTTGTTGTTGCTGTTTGATTGTTCAGTCATCAGGAAAAAACTGTATTTAGTTCCTTCTAAACCCTGGACCAACTCTACCATAAGGTAATACCATTGAGGTGTAGGATTACTGCAGGGATTAACTGTAGCGTCACTGTTCCTGAATTCGTATTTAATGTAAAAAGGGGAGAGGTGATGTGGGGAAGAACCTCAGTATTATGAAACTGTTGTTAGTTCTCTTATTAGGTAACTTGTAACACAACGTTCTGCCACTACAGATCTCTCTATTAGAAATGAGGATTCGGTTTAGTTCAGAGTCTGTATTAATAAAAATTTACTTTTGTTTGCCCCGGTTTGTTTTATCTATCTATTTTCTTTAAATAGCCATGAATTAAGCTTTGCAGCAGGACTGGTAAGATCTTGCTGACTTTAGTGAGGCTTGACATGGTCCATAAACAATGTAATGTATTTATGTTAGTAAATGTTGTCATTTTGAAATTTATCACATGCTCATGAATAACATTCTTCCTTCTCACCCACTTCTCTGGAATTATTAGATGTACAGCTGAAGTAGTGGCTTTAGTAACTTTGCTGGTAATTGGATTAACAATTCAGTATGCAATAATGAGGCTTCTTTTAGCTGGAAATTGGAAATTAAAATAATGCTTACATCTCAATGCTATAATCCTGTGCTTTTGAATACTCCTGATGTTTGATCCTTTATTTAAAAAAAAAAAGTGTTACCATGTAACACAGTCATCATTCTTATTTATTCAGAATATAGGGTTTTTTAGTTCAGTTTCTTATACTATATTCCGAGTTGTGCTTGAAACTTTAAGGGTGCTTTAAAGGATACCTTACTAAAGTAGGAGAGAAGCCTATATTTTTTCCAATAAAAATTAACTTTTGAAATTAATTGCTTAATTGTAGAGTTTGTTTTTAAGTTCCTCTTAAGCAAAATGAAAGTTTAGGCTCTCTTCCAACCCAGTGTTTAAATGTGTGCTTAACTTTTAGACATCCGAGTAGGTTCACTGACTTCCGTAAGTACACACGCCATGAGGCTTTTGACAAATTCACTTGCTGCTACTTGGAGAGCTGCAGCGGGGCTGGTGCTGGGCAGAGGGAGCCGGGGAGCGCACAGGATCCATGCTGATGGGCTTTGAACACAGCGGTGTCAGTGGTAGCACCGCTAGCTGTGAATTAAATTTGCAGAACTGCTGTCCTTGCAAAACCCTCGAGTGTTGTAGTTTAGAAAAGTCGTAATGGTCAAAGATTGCTCCAAAGCGGTGATAAAGCAATTTTCCAACTAGGCCCACATTACTGGTGTGACCTGTTGGCCACTTCCACTTGTTCCCTTGAGAAAGTTTTGCTTTTATAATGGTCCTCAGCCTAGTATTGATGTAATACGTACTGACTGTTTTGCCTATCTACTGACATAAATGCTGTTATTTAGGTAAACATGGTCCAAATGGTTTCTGTTGCAACAGGATTGAAAGTAAGTCTGAACAAACTTACTTATGTTCAAAACAGTACAGAAAGGGGGTTATCCTTTTCTTTTTTCCCTTCGGAGAATGAGGACGCAATATGGAGGTATCTGTCCTTGAAGTCCCTTCTTATTCTCCCCTAACTTTTAATTTTGCTAACTAATTTCTTCCAAAACTGGCAGAAGTCTCACAGTTGCTGAATTCCTACCGCCTTTGGAGCAGTCCAGGGCTGGGTGCAAATGACCTTATCAGTTCCCAGAAATGCAGAGGGTGGTTATGCAGAAAGGCTTTAGGACATTCGTCTACTTATAAATTGCTTTTTCTAATACATTTCTTCAAGAATAATACTTTTCCAGATGTATCAGTTTACAAAGTGAATCCTATTGCTATCCTGCTAGATAGAAAACATGTATTTTAGTAGTTATAACTACATAAATATATTTGATCTATAATTAAATTTTGTTTTGTTTTCAGTAGTAGTACATGATATGACAGAATTAAATTAATCTGTACGTATATGATACGCATTTTAAACTAGCTACATTAAATTGACCGTGGATACTAGAAATGTCTAGTAACTTTTCTTTCTTATAAAAAGTGTATTTTTTTTGTCATTTGGTGTTAATTAATAGACTGTTGTAGAAGATTGAGTAAGAGTATGTTATTATGGTAAAATGGTATTAAAAAAAGTTGACCTGAATCCTGCATTTGTCGTTTTTGTGACCTTTATATTCCTTCCTCATTAGAACTATGCAGCACTGATACAGCAACAAATTAATGAGGACAAACAAAACTTGAAAGAAAAGGCTGTATATGGAATCCAGCTCACAGAAGAAAAACTTAATGACTTCCGTGATGAACAGATTGGGCAGCTGAAGGAACTGATGGATGAGGCTACCAAACCTAATAAAAAAATCACCATTTCTAAAGACTCAGAACACAAAAACTAAAAGATTTTAAAAGTTGTTTTAATGCATACGGAAGCATTTTGAAACTTCCTTTTCCAGTTGGACTCGAATGTTGTTTCTGTGGAATAATGGGCGCTGCTGATGCCATAACTTGTCTGAAACAGATGTCTCTGGTTATTTGGCTTTCTATGCAAGAATAAATGTTACAATGGAATAATCACAACAATTTTATGTTAATTGCAATATTTTTTCTCCTAATGGAAGGTGGAGACTTAAAGAATTCGGTAAAAGTAAACTGACATTTTTCAAACAAAGTTGTTTTTTTTTTTTTTTTTTTAATCTTGGCACCCATAGGGTAAAACATCTTTCTGTTTGTATATCATCCTCTGCCTTAATGGAAAAGATGCAATTAGCATTTGTTTTCTAATGTGGATTCAGTAGACAAAGAACAAAGGTATGGTACTAGAGTGTGTTCCTTTCAACGGAAAGAAATGAGCAGTATTAGAAAAAACTGCTGTTGAAATTGAAGGTTGGTTTTCTTCTTGAGCTTTATTGTGAAATGTACTTTAAAATAAAAGATGTAGTTCATTATTAAATTGACCTTGAATGAACCACTGGCTTATGGAGAAAATTCTGCATTTTTTTCAAAGCTAAACTCAGATTATTGTTAGTATCTAAAATTTTTAAAAACCATTCATGAGTTGGTTGTGCTGTAGTTGGAATTCAAAGGCTCTTTAAAAACTCAGTATCCCACATTATTCAATATTTTACATAGACCAGAATTTGTAAACTCCTCAATCACAGTAATTATCCTGTTGATAATACTTTATGACAAACATTAGTAATTTATTTGTAATACGTTAAATCTTCATCAGGACAATGCGTGCCTATTGTAATATTCATACTATCGAGACTAAAAAAAGTTCTGGTTTTTTAATCTGTTAAGAGAAAAGACGCCCCTTTTTGTGTAAAAGACAGCTTTCATTTCGTGTTCCAAACCTAGTTTTATATTATTAGTTTTGTTCTATTTCTGGACCTTTCCCTGTCTGTTACCTACAGCGTGTTCAAGACAACATAATTTCTTTCCTCTTGGGGATAACAGCTTTGACAAGTAAGCACATTTCCATCCGTCTCATGTTGTAACACCATGCTGTTTGCCAAAGCTACGCTCCTGGATCCTAATGGGCAATTTGGGGAGCAGCCTGCTTCTCTCTCTCTTACCTCTCTTCCCAATTCTTTGCTAGGATTTTAGGTTGCAGGTTGCTCATTTCTGTTAAAAGTTCAATTGCAAGACTCCTGTGTAAGGAACACTTACGGTTGCTTTGCTACATCTTCCCCTGGCAGCCCCACCCTCTTCTGTTGCTTGTGCTGTAGGAACACCCTTTAGCCTCAAAGGCCTAATCCAAACAGGATCGAAGGGCAGAGGTGAGATCCAGGCTGCGGGGCTGAGGTTCACAAGTCCTGGTTCTTGGTGCTTCAAGGGCATGGTTGGAGAGAATGGCAGCTCCCTTCTGGCTTGCTACGTACCTAGGTCTTGCCCCAGCATGAGTGGGAAGCGGGTGGGGTGTGCATGCAAGAAGCTTGAAAATTGTCTCTGATACTGCCATTCACACGTACCTAAAGCTTTTTTCTTTTTAAACTCCAAAATCTGTAAAAATCTAATCCAACTCCAGGGTTTAGGGCATAAGGATGTATTCTGTTGCACTTCCATCAAATGTACAGTAACCAGTAATTTGCATCACTAGATCTACTCAGTTTTAATACCAAAGCAATGTTTGGGTGTTAACAGAGTTTGTTTCCACTCCTGATGTGGTTTAACCCTAGCCAGCAACTAAGCCCCACACAGCTGCTCGCTCACTCCCCCCATGGTGGGATGGGGGAGAGAATCGGAAGGGTAAAAGTGAGAAAACTCGTGGGTTGAGATAAAGACAGTTTAATAGGTAAAGTAAAAGCCACGCACGCAGGCAAAGCAAAACAAGGAATCTGTTCACTCCTTCCCATGGGCAGGCAGGTGTTCAGCCATCTCCAGGAAAGCAGGGCTCCGTCACGTGTAACGGTTACTTGGGAAGACAAACACCATCACTCCGAACGTGTCCCCTCCTTCCCTCTTCTTCCCCCAGTTTTATATGCTGAGCATGACGTCATATGGTATGGAATGTCCCTTTGGCCAGTTTGGGTCAGCTGTCCCGGCTGTGTCCCCTCCCAGCTTCTCGCGCACCCCCAGCCAACTCGCTGATGGGGTGGGGTGAGAAGCAGAAAAGGCCTTGACTCTGTGTAAGCCCTGCTCAGCAGTAACTAAAACATCCCTGTGTTACCAACACTGTTTTCAGCACAAATCCAAAACACAGCACTGTACCAGCTACTAGGAAGAAATTTAACTCTATCCCAGCCAAAACCAGCACAACTCCTTGATGGCTAGTACATGTGTGCCTACTTTCCAGTCAATATCCAAGTTGCTTCAAATTTATTTCAAATACTGCAATTTAGAGCACAGTTACGTTTTCCAACACATTTAATGAAACTTGTTAGTTCAATGAAACTAGTTAGAATACTTGTTTCGCATCTGTCTACTCATGTATGTACCTAGATAATGCACCTTTCTAGAGGCTAAATTAATTTATAATGAAAAATTGCTATTTGGTATGAAAAATTTAAGCTTATGATGAGACCTAAAGTGAGTTGGAGGTGAGGGTAAACGTCTTTACGTCCACGGTCCCTTTTCTAGTAAATCTGACAACTTTTTTCTTTCATTCCCAATGGTAGCTCATATTGTGTACAATGTTTGTATTCTTGTTTAAAACAACTCTTACAAAAGCCAAAATTCCACAATAGGAATGAAATGCCTTCAAAGACTGCTGGCTTTAAGACAGCCAGTGCTAATAGTAAGGCATGCTCTGATCCAAGCAGCGCTTACGCGAGTGGCGGGCACGGGTGGCCCCACAGAAGCTTTGCAATGCCAGCTCCACCATGCATTAGTGAAATTCTTTGATTTACAAGTGTGGTTAATGACAGTTAAGTTGAGGAAGACAATGGGCTTCTCATGCTGTCCACAGAAAGGTAGAGTGACAGATCTAAATTTATTTTTCTAAGGTATAGGAGACTTTTTGTGGGGAATTTACATAGGGTTTGATGGATAATGAACAAAAGAAAGCATCCGTCAAAATTACTTCAAAACTACCAGCAGTGTGCTAATTCAAACAGCAAAAGAGTTGCTTAGATAAAAGATACTAATCACCTTATAATGAAACATATAGAAAAATGATCACTTTAGAAGTGAGTACAAAGTTTTAAGCTGTGTTCTGTGTGTGTTGGTGTGGATTGCTGTTACACAACTAAACACTGAAAAGCTCCTACTACCCTTAAAAGACCTCTCTCTATTCAGCTTATCCGTTAAGAAAGATCCTTTGTATTTTGTTGATCTGAAATCCATTTGGCTCTTCTAGAACTGAGAGAGAGTGATAAAATTCACTGGTTAATCTGACTAAACCTTATCTGTGGTAGCACTTTATGTGATTGCCTGGCAGCTGGTAGGAGTTGGAGGGAGCTGAAGTTTTAGATAGCTGGAAAAGGCACGAGCTGAAGTCTTATCAACAAGCAAACAATCTTCAGAAATCTGTCCCATTAAAAATTACCAGTTTAGATATGCAAAATACAAAGTTACACATCTTAAAAAGAACAACTAGAAATGTCATTCTTTTGGTGTTTTATTATTTCCGTGATGTGGATTTATGCTTTTTTAACTGGCTGTCCAACAAGAGCCATTAGAACATGATGTTTCTTACTTAAAAATAAATTAATAATTTAACATATTGAAGGTAGGATTTATGAAGGAGTTTAATTTCTCAGCTATTTGGACTTACTTCAATCTTTTTGAATTATTAGTGGACTTTCTGTTTCTTCGTCTTGGATATGTATTTATGAGAGGCTGGTTATTCACCGATGAGCCAGTAGCCAAGTTTTCATTGGCTTCTAGGTAAAAATATTGAACAATTAGTGAAGGAGCAGTACCATGCCTTTCCCTGCCTGTTATCTCTTTTAATTTTTACTCTCTATAGCCAAACTAATAGCAGAGGGAGGGCTGAATCTCTCAGCAGACTGATGTACTCCAAGTGTGAACTCAGAGGGTCCACATACCTTTGAGGAAGGGTGAAAGCTGAATCACTGTGAAAGGCACCTCCCACTCTAGGGCAAAAGATGTCTCTACATGCCGTCCTGCTTAACTGTTGATTTTCAGACCTCTTGGAAAGGGTTTCAAGGTAAATCCTTCCTGCTGGAGGGTATAGATGCGGCAACAAAGGTTTTGCGGGGCTTGTTTGATAACAGAACTGCCTGACCCACCTCCTACCGAGCCGTGTCCTGGTGCTGGACCGGACTCCGTGCGTCTGCCCGCGTTTGGTACCCAAGACCCGCACAGTGAGGAATGGTGGTACTGGGAAGTCTTCCCCTTTGAACCACATCAGGAAGTTCACTGTAAAGACTGACGCAAATCAAATGGCTGATTTTAGAAGTGACAATAACTGCATTTGTAAATGATCTGCTCTTGTTCATGGAGGTTACATAGCTGCTGCAAAACCACTGGCTTTGGTAGGAACATTTTCAGCAGTTTTAGTGGCCACAGCTCTACCCTGGGAACAGACTCGACAGTGCTGAGTCCTTCCAGCTTTTCCAGTGGTTTGTGTCTACTGATTAAGGCACATGAAGATCACAGAATTTAATTTTATTTGGATGCAACCGTTATATAATACAAAGTATTCTTTGTTCATCGAAATTGAGAGCTATAAGTCAAGGTATAAATTCAATGTATAAATGACTAAGAACTGAATGGTTTTGCCACTTGTAGCAGTGTGTGTTACGAGTAAATGTCAGGTGTTTCAACAAGCCCATTTACATGATATATGACCCTACACAACGGATATGTGTGTCTGGAGAGTTCAGTGTTTAATCTGCTCTCTACCAATTTCAAAGCATGTGCTTGAGACTATAAAACAAGAATCCTTATTTAATAAAATGACCTTTAGTTACTGAGTATCTGTGAACTTGTTATAAATGCTGAGAAACATCGAGACAAGTGCATATTACTACTGTAAAGCCCTCAATAAGTAGTTTGTTGAAATACCACTGTTTGCAACACCATTTCCAGCACAGATGAGCCTTCTGTTTTATGTCAGTTACACTCCTAGAGGGATGAAGTGAAATCTAAATCATCTGTTAAGTGAGCTAACATATTTGCCATTTTTTCCAAAAAGGTTACTATTTCTGGTTTTGACTGGAAAAACAACTAGCACAGAATCTAAAATAGTGGTGTCTGTTTATCCTGAGAGGTTAACAGCAAACCCAGTAAAATATGTAGCAGAAAGTAAGCTGGCAGTACTCTGTTGGGGTTGTACCAAAGGCAGGATATCACTTAGCTTTACTCTGGTGGAATAATGTACAGAATCTATAGCATAGAAGGTCCACCAGAGCAGTGGAAACTGGCCATGCTCTTCCCTTCTACAAGAGACCCATATCAAAACCAGGATGGTGCAGTCAGGAATCAGTGAGTAACCCAAGCGGATGACGGACCGTGGTAGATCCTTCCAACAGGCTCTGCCAACCAGACTGGGG